CCTAAGGTGACCCTAGCACCTGTTCCGGTTCCTGGAGGAGTTGATACTGAGAAGATGCAAACCAAAGAGGCCTCCCCAGTCCCTCCTTCCGCTGCTGCAGCCTGGGATAATAAGGGAGCAGAAGAGCCCTTTGGTTAAAACTCAGCCTGGGATGATTGCAGCTGCCTGGGGGGCAGCGAAGGGTCAGTGGGGACAAGTGGGAGGGGAGGAAAACCACCCACGAAGACTGAGTTTCCACTTCCTTTTCGAAAGCCTCCTCTTTCTGAACATTGTTTATTTTGATTCTGGGTGTTTTGATTTTTCTGTCTCCCCTCCCCCACGCCGTGTGTCTGGGTGTACGCGCACACCCCCACTGCTGTTTAGATTGTAGATGCTTCTATGGCAATTCATCTCCTCAGTCCACACTTTTGTTCCAGTAATAACACCCTCTGCGGGCCAAAAACTCCCAGGAACCACAGTGACAGTTAGCTGTTGCCACTCCTGGGGTCACAGAAAGGGGTGGGTGTGCCCTGGGTGAAGGATTCCCCTTAGCAGCTCGGAGCTGGAGGCTGGTGGCAGTCGTGAGCCATCCGCCTTCCTAGGATTCCGAAAGGCCAGACCCTTGGCCCACCCCAGTCTCCTCCTCACACCTAGCGGATGTCTCAAGGATGCATTATGGGAACACATTCGTTGTCTGGCTTTCCCACAAGGGACCATATTTCACAGCTTGGACCACTGGCCTCACTGGCCTGGCAAGGCAGCCCATGCGCACACACAGGCAGGCCTGGGGGAGGGGGCTGCCACTGCCCTGCTGCCTGGGCACTCAACAGTTGGGTAGTACAGCCTGTGAGAGCTCTCTAGTCCTAGTCCCTGGTCACATCCCACAGCCAGGGGCGAGGAGCAACGTCCTTGCTGCTTGCTTTTTCCCGGCAGATCATGGGTGGCATATATTCCTCTTTTCCTTTGGAAACCTACACAGTCAGCTTTCCTGCCTGGTCGAAAGGCTTAATAGTGGGCCTTCTCTGCATGCATAAAAGCTTGTTGTCCATTACGTTCAACAAGAAAGTGAAGGAAGAAAAAGTGAGTGGCACAGGAGAGCCAAAGGCCTGCACAGCTCCTGTGAGGCAAGAGGTGTGCCCTTACTTCGGGGATCCCTTTGGTTCACACTTTTTTGTTTTTTAAAAGGAAGAAAAGTTTATTAGGTCATCACATGAAGATCGTGCCATAGCAATAGACGAATAAATAAATAATGCCTTGAGTTTTGGCACATTTTCTTATTTTAAGGGAGAGGAAAAGGTTGTACCTTATAAACATTTTTGGTTGCACGTGGGGAGGAATTCAAGGGTGACAATGAAATGAATTTTCAATACATTAAAGCCGTGTGCTGAAGGGGGAAAAAGACATTCCATGTCTGTTTAATGTGTAACACATGGGCGGATGGGGCCTTTTGGAACTGAGTAATGGGCATGTAGTCCTTACAGAGAGGCGGTCCGCGTAGTGAGGCTTCTGACTGCTAGGCAAGCTCGAGAGCCAGGGTTAGATCTTTAGGAACTGAGGCATACTCACTCCAGCCTCTAGCACTCAGGCCTGGGCTGGCAGACTTACAGGCCCATCTCCGTACATCCACAAACTGGTCCGATACCGGTCCAAACTAAGATACCCGCGGGCCAGCGCCCACACGCATCCCGGCCCTCTTCTGCTCGGTGCCACTCAGCCAGTCAACCTCAGAGCTGAGACTTTCCCTACTAGGTCCTCCCAGCCCAAATTTTCAGGGAAACTTGAATACAAGTAGAAAAGTGTTTGATGATAGAAAAAAAAAAAATCTGCTTGCTTGCAGTTCTTGAGATGGCCAGATTGCTACAAGAAACTGTTGCATTCCTGAGCTGGAGAGGGCGAGGGCAGGCACCGGGAGGAGGCTAGAGCACAGAGGTCTGAGAACTTGAAAGACGAAATCAGAACTCCGCCCGGGAACGCCCGGGGGCCTCGGAAGAGGGTGCAAGGGGGCGAAGGAGGGCCGGGCAAGGGTTAACCCCGAGCGGAGCGTGCGGCGGGGGCGGGCCGGGGCGGGCACGGGGCGCTGTCCCTTTAAGGCGGGCGGCGCGGGCCGGCCGAGCGCCGCGGTGATTGGCGCGGCGGGATCACTGGCTCCCCGCGCCCGGCCCGGGGGAGTCGGCTGGAGCCGGCTGCGCTTTGATAAGGTCCTGGCAACTCAGTAACAGCCCGGACCGGGAATAAAAATAATCCCTCGCCGCCATGGACTTCGGGGCCGCCCGGCGGCCGAGGCGCCCGCCTCCCTCGCTGAACTCCCTGCTGTAAAAGGTGGGGGCTGCGGCGCGGCCCCGCGGAGCCGCTTCAGAGGGGGCTTCCCTCGGGCCGGGCCGGGCCGGGGTGCCCCGCGCGGGGCCGGGAGAGGCGCGGGCGCGGGAAGGGGCCCGACGGGGCCGGGCCGCGCGCAGGGGTGCGGGCCGGGCAGCCGCCGAGGGCGCTGGGCGCGGGGGGTGGCGGGGCGCGGCCGGCGCGTACCTCCCTTTCAGGACCGTGCGCTCGGCTCTCGCCTTTGAACTGCACAGTTAAATCCACAGCGCAGTTTTTGTTGGAAGCGCCCGGAGGACATTTGGTGCGCCCAGTGACTGCTGGAAACCGGACCGGTGTGGAGAGCCGGGCCGGGCGGGGGCGGGGGCGAGGCCCGCTCTGATCGCTGCAGAAAGGGGCGGCGGGGCGCGCCTCTGCCCTCACCCCGGCAGCGGGCTCGCTCTGATCCCCGAGCGTTGTTTCCCTCACCCTTTCCCCCGCCGCTCGATTCCCCATGTTCCCCGACGCCCGGGCCGGCCGGGGGGGCCCGGGGCTGCCGCTGCGAGCCAAGCCGGGGGCTGGGGCAGAGGCCCCGGCCGGGGCGCCTGGGAGGGCTCGGCGCGGAGCGAGCGCGCGGACCCACGGTGAGTGTGAGGCCGCGGCGGCCGGGCGGCCCGCGCGCTTTGATGTGCGGGGCGGCGCTTTGAAGTTGGCAGGCCGGCTATTTCGGGGCGCGCTCCGGGCGGGCGCGGAGGGGGAGCGGCGGGCGCGGCGCCCAGCGCTCCGGGGGACTTGGCCGGGCCGCCCGGCGCTCCCCGAGCCGGAACCCCCTGCCTAGCGCCGGGGTGGCCGGGAGCCCGGCGGGGCGACTTCTCCAGGTGGGGGCGGGGCGGAGAGTGGGCCAGACCCCCTCGGGGTCGCGACTCCAGGCTTGCGGACGTGAGTCGGGGTGTGTGCGCGGGACCGCCTGGGGAAGGTGGGATGAAAGAGTGGCGGCGCCCCCCGCTTGCCCTCCCCGCCTCTCCCCCGCCCCGACTCCCCTCCTTCTCTCCTCCTCCCCTCTCCCCTCCCAGCCACGGGTCCGCGCTCAGGGGCCCAGAGCACTGGCGGAGGCGCAGTCTGCGCGCAGGAACGGCCCGAGCCTTGGGCGCCCGTGTCCCTTGCGTCCCTCCTCCCGCCCGGACCCTGCTCCCCAGACCGCCCCGGCCCTTTTCTGGAGAGGCAGATATTCCGCTCGTCGCCATTTCGGGACGAGGCGGCTGCTTTCCGCGCTTCTGCGGGCACCGCTGCGAGCCGAGGCGCCGGGTCGGACCCCTGCCCGGGCTCAGGGCGCTGCTTGCGCGGTCCCGGCGCTCCGGCCCGGCGCTCCTTTCGCTGGGGCTCTGGAGGCGTTGAGTTGGATTTGGACCGGGGGACTGGGTCAGAGGGGCTCGAAGGAGATGAGAGCCCAGCCTTGGAGGCCTTCGTCTTCCAGGTAACGGGGCCGCCCCACCTCCCCTCCGCCTGGGTGCGCGGCGCTATCGCAGCCACGCCACTCCACGGGCCGCGTCACCCAGTCCGGCGGACTGAAGTCCCGGGCAGGGGCGGCGTGCACCCACCCCAGGCCCAGGGTCTGCGGCCTCTCGCCTGGAGCTGCACCGCATCCCCCGGCCCGCCCCTGCCCTCCTCAGTTTGATCCTTCAGTTCCAGGGCGATTGGCTTGTTTATGGGTTGGATGAGACTTTCCTTGCGGAAAACAAACAAAAAAAACAGGCTTGAGATCAATGGAGTTTGAAATTCTTGGCACAGGCAGTAGTAGCGTGAGAAGGCTTCTGATCCGGTTTTGTGGGATTCTCTCGGGGAGGTGGGTTGGGGGGCAGGGGCGGCCGGTCGAGGTTTCTCTGCTGTCGCAAAGTTTGAAGATCAGAGTCTCGACTGAGTGAGTTGGTTCCTGGTTTGGGGGAGCAGTGAAGGTATAGACTGAGCCGGATTCTTGGCTGGGTTGGACAGTAAGCAACATTTACATCTGGGACGGGGAGTGGGGGAAGCAATCTGGATCTAAGAATCGGGGAGCCCATCCCGCCCTTGCTGGGCAGGCTTCTTTCGGGCGAAGATCTTCAGAATTTTTAGGGGGTGGGAAGGGAGAGCGCACAAGGAGGGGGCGATGGGGGGAATGGGAACCAGATGCCTGAGAAGGGCATGTTTGGAGCTCGAGTTATCTGTGCACAGCCGAGACGGGAAATTTACCGAAATTGGTTTCACCTGCACCCAGCCTGGCGGCTGGAAGTGCGCCTCTTCGGAGTCGATGCTCTCAGGGGAGGGGGGCGCGCTAGGTTGTGCTGCGTGCGCCGGGCTGAGGCGGTTTTTGGAAGGTTGTGTCCTACACCTCCTGGTTCCTTCGGCCGCCCACCGCCCTCTGATTCCATCTCACCTTCCCCGCCCCTTCCCCATCCCCCATCCCTCAAAAAGTGTGCTGGGAGCTCAAATTTCGTCTTTGAAAAAGCAGCGTCAGATACTTGAGATGAGCACCTCGTGGATAGCTGGGTTGCTTGATTTGAATTTGAGGAGTTGAAAAGCCTGTTTACTTTCTTGCTTTGATGTTGGGTAGATCTGGTTTTGATTAGATCAATACCCTTTTCTCTCTCCCCACCTCCCCCCTTCCTTTTCTTTCCAGAGTGGAGGCTCAGATGAGCCCCTGCTGACTTGAGAGAGAAAGAGACCAGGCGGGGGTGCTGAGAGGAACTGGAAGAAGAAAACGAATTCCCAAACTGAAGAGCTCACTAACCATGAGTAGCGTGGTGTTGGTGACTCGCCTGCCGGATCCCAGCAGCAGCTTCCGAGAGGATGCGCCTCGGCCCCCAGTGCCCGGGGAAGAAGGGGAGACTCCTCCGTGCCAACCGGGAGCGGGCAAGGGCCAGGCCACTAAACCCATGCCTGTCTCCTCCAGCGCCAGGCGGAATGAAGATGGGTTGGGGGAGCCAGAGGGGCGGGCATCCCCCGATTCCCCGCTGACCAGGTGGACGAAGTCCTTGCACTCTTTGTTGGGAGACCAAGACGGTGCTTACCTCTTCCGGACCTTCCTGGAGAGGGAGAAATGTGTGGATACTTTAGACTTCTGGTTTGCCTGCAATGGGTTCAGGCAGATGAACCTGAAGGATACTAAAACTTTGCGAGTCGCCAAAGCAATCTACAAGAGGTACATCGAGAACAACAGCATTGTCTCCAAGCAGCTGAAACCTGCCACCAAGACCTACATAAGAGATGGCATCAAGAAGCAACAGATTGACTCCATCATGTTTGACCAGGCGCAGACCGAGATCCAGTCGGTGATGGAGGAAAATGCCTACCAGATGTTTTTGACTTCTGATATATACCTCGAATATGTAAGGAGTGGGGGAGAAAACACAGCCTACATGAGTAACTCGGGACTGGGGAGCCTAAAGGTGTTGTGCGGCTACCTCCCCACCTTGAATGAAGAAGAGGAGTGGACTTGTGCTGACTTCAAGTGCAAACTTTCACCTACTGTGGTTGGCTTGTCCAGCAAAACCCTGAGGGCCACAGTGGGTGTGAGGTCCCTGGAAACGGTTGAAAATGGATACAGGTAAGATTTTGGTAGGGGCTGGATGGGTGGGGCTTGCTGGATGGTCCTGACTTCACAGATGTTTTGAGTTAAGTAGGGTGGGTGGATGGACGGGTGGATGGACAGACGGGTGGATGGACAGACGGATGGATGGATGGATGTGCTGCAGAGGCTCACGAAGGTCTATTGAGAGCTGGCACCGCTGGCCATGAATGCTTTGATCTTACTTTTTGTTGTTTAAAGGGGCCTGTGTGTGTGGAAGTGATGCACGCACAGCTAAATACTTGCAGTCTTGCCGTGCTAACTTCAAACAGTGGCAAACAGTATTCATTAATGTGGGTTACTTATTATCCTGGTCAAGAGTCTCCGAAGGGGTGATAGGGAGAAAGGACCTAGCAGCTTTTGATGCCTCTGAGTCACCAGACCCACTAAGCATTGGTTTGGGAAAGGGTCATTTCACCACTAGTCAGCAGAGAGTTGGAAGTAATGTGGCTGGGAGGCAGCTGGGTTGTGGTGAAGGCACAGGAAATAATGTGTGGACCCACTGAGGGGTAAGTGGGAGCTTTTGAACTTTTTGTGTTAAAGTAAGAGACAACAGTTGGCCTAATGACTGAGCTTGTGGTTCTCTTTGTAGAATTAGATATTTACCCAGCAAGAAACCCTTCTATCTCAGGGAAGGCCCTTCTACTGGGGAAGGCCAGTGACTTTCTTGAATGAAGGGCCCTTAGCCTTAGTGTCTGCTGGTCTGTTAATCCAGGTTTTAAAGGCTCTCGAGCCTGAGGTCAGACCTTAGTGGATTATTTGGTGGTGCTTTTGGAGAAGAGATCTTGGCCCAGGAGAACTAGGCTGTGGAGTACTTTCTTTTTTTGAGGCTTCAAAGACAAACAGTACTTTACAGAACAGCCAAGTCTTAAGATTCTTGACCTTTGCAGGCAACTTCAGACCTCCTGTTAGAATGAGTTTTACTAGTTCTTTGCCTCTCTCCACTTCCAAATACCCAAAAAGAGAATGCATTTTTTAATTCTAGTTTCTTGCCTATGACCTGCAGGGCTGGAGGCTGGAGGCCGGTGGTGGCACTTGATTGCTGTCCACTTGACTGCTGTCAGAATGGCTTATCTTGTTGTCCCAGAAGTGTTAGGGACCCAGGATGCAGTCTGATGGCCATCTCTAAAGACTTCCCTTTATCTGTAGGGTGTGGCTGCCACTGTCCCAAAGTAGGAACAGCAACTAGTTACTTGGATAGTTGATCTGCAGCTCCTTGAGTTGGGGTAGGTAGGTAGTTCTGAGCCTAGCAAGCCACGAGTTAGAGGTGACTTGAGTGTTGATTTGCTAGCAAGAAGGGGAAGTGCTGGTTTGCCAACCACCAGGGGGCGCACTTACAGCCTCGCAAGCCAGTTCACAGGCGCTCAGACATCTGGTCTATACCTAAATAAAACCGGGTTGGCTTCTGCAAGGAGACATAGGATCACATGAGGTAGTTGTTTTGGCGTCTTTAAGCTTATGGAGTCAGGCTGTTTTGGAGGAAGATTCGGGGTATGGCCTCTGCAGCAGGACAGTCCCTGGGCACCTGCCTCTATTCCCTGGGTCCATTATGAGGGCATGTGGGTAAACCTGCGGCTGGCCTCCTTGCCCTCCAGCTTGGCAGTTGCAGCTGACACTCCTTAAGGCCTGTGGTAAGCCTGCTTCTCTAGGGGCCTTCTGACAGTGGGGCCTCTGTCTCCTAGTGTCAGCCCCAGAGTGTCACCTTTGTGAATAGCAGTGTGTGGTTTGGAAGCCATCAGGAAGAAAGCGCTCCGCAGGCACCACTGGGCTGTGACTCCTCTCCTTGTAGGTGGGCAGTGGGGACCCAGCCTTGCTCCTCCTCCCTCTCTCATATCCCTTTATCTGGGATATGTATTACCAGCAGTAATATCTTGTCGGAGATTACTTTTGTGAAGCTTTTGAGATCCTGGAGGCTAGGGCAGAAGATCTTGTTTTCCAGTGCAGCCTTCTTGGTTGTGAACTGAGGGCACAGTTGATGTATAGAGATTGGAATTTTTCTTGACCTTGAGAATTCCCATACTAGATTCACGTGTGCTTTCTCCCACTGTTGGAATGAAGTATTTACCTGGACTGCATGAAGCTCATATGTATTGGGCACTGTGAAAGAATTTAAGACATACCTAGATGGTTTCATTTCATTTTAACATGCAAGATATTTGAGTGTGTATATAGTGTATAAGGAAATATCTTGAGTTATTCAAAGGCCTGGTTTCTATAGCTGCGGTCACCTTACTATGCCAGCTGAACTATTCCTGAACCCCACGTGCCCATCTGTAAAATGGGTGAGCACCACCCCTTCCATGTTGTAGAGTTGTTCTTAGGATCAAAATAATAAACTTGAGAGCCTTTTCTAAAGGGAAACATTTTTAAAAGATAAAAGTGTTACAATTAGTATAATGAATGATAATAATTGGGTAGGTTTAAAGAGCAAGAAGGTCAGCATATCACTTTTAAAGGGTAACTTGGGTTTTAGCTCATTTTTCATTGTAAAGTTTTAGGGTGTCTGCTTCCCATGTCTCCCCTTTCTGTACTTGTTGAATGTAGTCAGGTCTGTCTTTCCAGCTGGTTCTTGTCATGCAGGGGTCCCATCTGATTCCGGTTTAAGCCTGCCCCGCCCTTCCCCATTCATGGCTGCACAAGGCACCTGAGTAGAGGATGGACGTAGTAAGGTAGTAAGTGCCTGTAGGGAAGTGAGTGAGACAGAAAACCTGCGCCCTGCTCAGGCTTCTTCTCCTCAGCTGTTGAGTTGTCCTAGCAGCCGGATGCCCGGGGCACTGCCTGGCCTTCCAGGCCCTGTTTACCTTGGACACTCAAAGGAGCCTCATTTTTAATGACTTGTTTGTGTCCTTACTGATTTGGTGTCGGGTTTAATATAAATAGTTGGGACGGAAGAGCAGGAATTATCCTCAGAAGGAAGGGCCCTGGTTTGCGAGTGGTTGAGTGGGATGCCTGGGCTTTTGATGACCTCTATAAATAACCGAGACCAAAAGTGAGCTGTTGGTAGAAGCACGTGTAAGAGCCCAGCACAAGCACATGCGCAGTGTTGAGGTATGTGTGGAGGGGCTGCGGGCACCGGTGCCCAGCCCAGCCTTTATTTTGGGAAGGAAGATACAGCGGTGGGCGCACAGAGCACTCCCCGTGCCCTTTTCTTTCTTCCCGGGCCCTGGGCTGGTCTCATCTGCCTCTCATCTAGCTCTGTACTCTGGCCGCACTTAAAATCCAACAGGCCCAGCAGGTGGCCCTCTGCTGGCTCCACGTGCTTCCTGGTCTCTGAAAGAACTGGCTAATGGGGCCCATTTTTGTGAGAAGCCCTGGGAAGCAAGCTTAGTTTCAGCTGTCAAATAATATGATGCCATAGCACAGATAAGCTGGGAGCAAGCAGTAGCCAGCAAAGAGAGGTTAAAGCTTTGACGAAATGAAGTCAGTTGGCCTAGACACACTTGCCAAACTTCGGCTGGTTCCCAAAGGCACTGACCTCTCGCTGTCCACCCCTTCATCTTGTCTTCAGCATGCGGCTGAAGAGGGTGTTACCTTTGGAGCAGTGACCTTGTGAGTAAGTTGTCAGAGGCTCTTGGGAAGCCCGAAGCCCAGCCCAGAAGCAAGTCATTGTTTGTTGCACTGTCGGCAGAGGGGCCTCAGAAGGATGCCCCTTGGGTGGGGTCTCTTGGCTCCTCTCTGCAGGGAGCCTTTGCTCTGGGGCGTGGGAGGGCAGCAGCTGCAACATCCTAGCAGAATAAGAGATAAGAAGCTAGGGTGTGGGAGGCTGAGGCAGGAGGATCCTAAGTTTCGGGCTGGCCTGAACTGTGTCATGAGACACTGTCTCGGAAAACCAAGGGATAAAAAGAAAAAGTAAGAGTGGGCCAGCCACACATTTTCTTCTTCCCTTGAGGTCCCAGGAGCTTCTGCTACCTGCCAGCTGACAACCCTTTGTGTCCTGAGGTGGCAGACAGGCCTGTGGGTGCACACCCAGCCCAGAGTGCACCTCCCAGGCCTCGGCTCTGCAGGAATGCAGAATCCCCCCAGCAACCGGGAACGCGACAGTCCTGAGGAAGTGATCAGAACATCTGGGTACAATTACTGCAGCATGGTAGAGTTTCTTTTCCTTTTTTTTTTTTTGTTAAAGTAATCACAAGAAAACAGCTCTGATCCATTTTCTTAAAATTAATATGCTTTTGAGACAGTTCTGGGTGCCTCGAAATTGAGTTTCTGTCTCTTCCCACAACCCTGCCTCCTTCCTCTGCCTCATTTTGTTAAGATTGTGCTTTATTACAGTCAGCTGAGTTAAGAGCAGTATATTCCACTTTTAATTACTGGTCACACAGTAGCCCTCTATTTCGGAAGTGGAGGCAGCGCAGTTTATTTTGGGATCCACGTGTGAAAGAACCCGTGTGACACTGCGAGTGCACTCCTGGGTTTTGAGTTAGGTGTTTTTTTTGTTGGGGAGGAAGGGCTTTCTGTGGAGTCATTTTCTCCCCATGGAGGCTGAAGTACAAGTCTTACATCTGAGACATTGTTGATGTGTTAATACCACCAAGATAGAAAGACTGAGGGGATGGAAACAGCGTTTGAATGCTATTTAAGGCTGCTTTGGCTTTTTTGATCTGGCACTATGCCTCTTTTAAAACTTCTCAGAGACTGTTTGATGGATCTAGGTCTTTGAAGAAGGCTCAAGCAAATGTTGAGCTCCTGCCACGTGCCACCAAATACTTCTGGTGTGGGAGATCCATATGTGAAGATGGGTCTGACCCTTCGTGGACTGTACAGTGGTGCTTAGCACATGCACCAGTGCTGTCTTGATATAAACACAAGAGGAATGGGTAGCATACTCGAGGAAACAGGAGCTCTCCTTTTTTTGTTGGTGGTTGTTTCTGGAGGGTATTACTGTGATACCCTCAGTTACAGGGCCCTGTCTGGGCCCGGGGGAGGAGGAATATGGTGCACGTGGCTATGTCTGAACTGCACATACTCTAGGTGGGTGCTGCACACCTAGGGAGCCTGTGATATGGCCCAGCTAGCTGACAGGTAAGCTGGCACCTGCTCTCAAGCCTCTGACTTCTGGTTCCTACCAGGATTGTACAGAAGCCCTTTTGCCCACCTGCTTTGAGTCAGCTGCCCTATCCAGGCCGCCTAGAAGGCTATTTTAAAGACTTGAAAAATTGCCTGATCTCTCTCCGTCACTCCAGTCCCTGGATCTTCGCTGACCATTTGGAAACCCTTTCTTCTTTCTGACTTGTAAAGCCACTTCTCCTGTTCTGTGCCTGGTGGCCATGGTGAGCAGGGAGCGAACCTCCTCAACTGAGTTCTTCCCCTACTAGGAGGCTGCTTTTACTGATTCATCCCTCCACCTTCTCAGCTCCAGAAAAATCACCTGCCCTCCTCCTGTGTTCTCAGTACTCCCCCATGTCCATTCTCTGGAAACCTCAGAGGACACAGAGAGGACGACTAGGCATGAAGATCTTTAACCATTCTCATCAAATCTTCACAGAAAGTTCCAGGAGGGGGCAAAATGTCCTGCCTCTACGGATAGAATAGGGCCAGTATCCTGGGGCAGTTCAGTCACCTGGCAGGAAGTCTTCTGTGATTCATGTGCAACACTTTAGGTGGCACCTTCCGGCTGATTCTGCATGCCTGTGTAACATTTCTGAGGTCCAGCTTTCTGCCCTAGCCTAGTGCAGACCAGAATCAGGGTCCCAGCTAAGGTCCAGCTGCTCTGGCTGAGTTGCCAGTGGGACAGTCTTGACAAGGCCCTTGGCTTACTTGGGGCTGGTAGGGAGCATTCAAGGAGGTGATAGGGCAGCAGCTGCTCCCTGAGCCCCTACTGTGTGTCAGCCCTGTTCTTGGTGCGGGTGTACAACAGCGATGAAAAGAAAGACATTGTCCCCAGGGAGCAAGGCACCACGTGGACACCAAGGGTTCAGTCTGTGTCTGCTCTTGATTTTTATTACCCTTTTTGGGGGGTGGTAGTGGTAGTAATGAGGATAGAAGCCAAGAGTCTTGCACATGCTAGCTAAGCACCATACCACTGAGCTATATCCCCAGTCCTCTGTTTTGAAGGAGGGCACTGGTTTAGACATTTGCAGGGTTCATCCTGGTGACCTCAGCTAGAGCAAAAGCTCCTCACAGATAGGGTCTGGCTCTTTCACTGTCCCATCCCCACTGTCCCCCTTGAGAGGCTCCCACCAAATGGGACAGCAACTTCCCATGGGCTCCCTGTTTGCATTCATCCCTCCTTCCAGTCCAGCCTGTTGGCTCCCCTGGCCCCATGTGCTGCTGAGGCCTCTTGCTTCCCTCACCCTGCCCCCAGCCTTGTCCTGTTAAGACAGACTCTGGTTTTACACTAAAGGCCCACTTCTTTGTCCCCTGTCCCAGTCTTCTTAGCCTGACTAGTTTGAGTCCTAGTCTCCCTAGTCTGGGGAGAGCTTTTCTCTGGCTTTCCTGGTGTCATCTTGAATTCCTGCTTATACCACATGGTGTACCTCACCCCCAGCTGTCCCTTCTAGAAACCTGCACTCTATCATCTTGTGTCGTGTGTCGTATTCTAGAAGACCTTCCTAAAACTTTGCATTAGGAGGCAGAAAGAAAGGTGGAATGAAAGCCGGATGGATCCATGCCATGCCCACCAGTTCCAGCTGTGCTACCCAGGCAGGGGCTGTACTCGGACTGTATGGGCCTCATCTGAGAGGTGGGCACAGCACAGTGCTCTCTTCCCGGGCTGATGTGTGTCATCTTGTGGACCGATGATAACAACATGCGTACCTCTCACATCGTGGTCATATGCTCACCCAGGCCCCGAGTGTCAGGAGACTGGAGCCTGGGGCTGCAGACACCCCAGAGCTCAGCATAGTGGGGGATACATGTGAATAGGAGCTCAGAGAACACATACAGAGGACTGACTGGGACCTTTCATGGGTCCTTCTCATCTGCCTGGCCCAGGGCTATGTAGTTCAGCTGCTTTGGCCTGTAGACTCTGTTCTTTTCTGAGCATTTTCTCTCTCCTCCCGTTGATTTCTTTGCTGCCTCCTTAGCCTGAGTGGCCCAGTGGAGTGGCTTGGGGGCTCTGAACAAGGCCTCCTGCAATTTCAGGCTGGAACCCATCTCCCCTCCCCCTACTGAACTCCCTGGCTGGTGACACAAGAGGAATGCGACCCAGCAGGAGACAGGCACACTGCTTGTTCTGGGAGGAGATCAAGGGAGCAGAATGGGGACCCAGAGGCCAATGAGACAAAAGGGCTGGAGACCCCCAGAGGAGGGGCCTGGGCCTGCCTTTGAAACAGCTGTGCTGCTCATTTCAGCCCTGGGTAAGGAAGGCCGGGGTGGGGGAAGGGGCATGGCAGAGGCCCTGCAATAGGCTGGGCCGAGAACCTTAAACATTGTCTTGAGCTCTCCTGTCCTGTCTGCAGCTCAGTGTGGGCGCAGTGCCAAAGTGAGACAGTTACACCATGACTGTGGTTGTTTGCGTCTCTGGACTTGGCTGACAAACCTGAGACAGGGATGTTTTGGGGCCCCGGACTGGATTCTCGTCAGGCTTGCACATGGAGGCAGGGAGGGGAAAGACACTCCATCATGTCACTGTTGCCACTGCCACGGACTTGCTGTGCTCCTTCACCTCATGTTCTCCCTTCCTAGAGCAGGGCGTGTTTCTTCCCTGTGAGTGTATTTAGGACTCAAGGGTTCCCTGGGCTGTCTCTGGAATATTAGCCCTCGCCCAGCCTCCTCTGGGGGCAGGAGAAGCCAGCTCGACTTCTGCCCAGGGAGAGTCAGTGGTTAGCGGGCCTCCCTTCTGTGACCTTTGCTTTCTGCCCAGGCTTGCAGCTGGACTGGGCATCAGGGTGGCATGGAACAGATGCAGGATTGCACCCTTGGTTGTTCTGAGGTCGCGTGGCAAACTGGGTTTCTGGCGAGGGTCCATGACCACACTCCTATCGTCTCCTCTCACAGGTCCTTCAAGAGAAGCGATCCCGTTAACCCGTATCATGTAGGTTCTGGCTACGCCTTTGCACCAGCCACCAGCGCCAATGACAGTGAGATATCCAGCGATGCACTGACCGATGACTCCATGTCCATGACAGACAGTAGCGTGTAAGTATCTGGTGTCCCCTCCATGTGTATGACTGGGAGTGTGACTCACCAGGGCACCTGGGCAGAACTGTCACATCCTCACCTGGCTTTGTAAATCCCATCTGTGTTGAGTGTGGACGTTTGTTTGGGATAAGGGAGTGACGTGATAGCCTGGCTAGTGTTAAGCTGATAGCCTTGAAGAGGAACGTTGGGGTGGTGCCTTAACAGAAGAAAACCAAAGTCCGGCAGTAGGTTAAGATGACTATGGATTTCTTGAGTTTAAAAAACCATCTGCCGGTTGTCCCCTTGGGAACAGTTGCTTGGTTGGTCTTTGAACCTGGGTATCCAGTGTGCATGCAGAACCAACAGGTGGGACACAGGGTGACATCAGAAGGGTTTGTGTTTAGGAGCTCATTGTCTGTGGAGGAAAAGGCATTGAAGGTGGGCATCAGAAAGTCACATATCTTTAAAGGACCACTGTGTACTTCACCTACATGGAAACGTCTCAGTGGACATCATTTGGTTTAATAAATGTTGGCGGAACATCAACTCTGTGTCAGATGCTAAGGACCCTGACTAGGAGCTCTCTCCAGAGTAGTGCCTGACACTGGATCTTTTGTAGATGGATGGCTCTGATTTTTGAAAGCCATCAAAGTCATTGAGGTGGTGTGATGGAGTCAGTAGATCATCAGGTTAAATCATTTGATTCTTAGGTCATGGGAAATCAAGTTGAGCTCTCCAAATGGAGAGCAGCAGTTCTCATGGATCACTTAGGGGTGTGTATGTGTATGTGGTGGCCTGAGAAACCCTGTTTCCTGCCAACCTTTGAGGTTTTGATTCAGGAGACTTGGGGTGGGGCCTGGGCACAGTGCAGTTCTCAAGTCTTTTCACTCAGTGAGACTCACCATTCCTGAAATGGCCTTTGAAGGCTTGCTTTTCAACAAATGTTTTGCAGTCAGACTTTTGCCTGCTAAGTGAACAATACTGAAAGGCAACCCCACTGAATGGTGTAAGTTCTGGCACACTTATTTAGACTTTGTTCCTTTTAGCCTCCTAAAACTGGACCATCTATTCTTCTCATTTGTTTGAGACTATCTAGTTTCTATTGGCCACTGTCCTTGGCCTGTGGCATGGGACCAATTGGAAGGGTAAGTCGATGAAGTTAGCTTGGGACTTTGCTATTGATTTTCTGGTGGTTTTTATTGAATTTTATTCAAATTCCCCTGTTAATAAAGGCCAAGGGAACCTTAAGTTGAAAAGTTCCATTTTAACAAAAGAATACCAGCCTGGCATTAGTGAAAACACAGCACAGGTGACCACCTTTCATTTGCTGTGGAGGAATAAAAAGTTTCAGAGAAGTAGGTTTTCATATTGACTGAATCTTTTTTAAAGTATCTGTGCTTGAAAAAAATTATTCTTTGAACATACGTTCTCTTTTTTCCCTTCCTTCCATCCTTTTGTGTGTGTTGTGGAGGGGATGCTGGGCATTGAACTAGGGCCTTCACAGTGAGCTGCCTCCCTGACTCTTTTTATTTTGAGACAGGGTCTTGCTAAGTTGCCCAGACTGGGCTAGAACTTGGAATCCTCCTGCCTCAGCTTCCCAGAGTGCTGGGATTACAGGTGCGCACCACCATGCCCAGCTGAACATATTTTTAAAAATACATTTTGCTGGGCCGGGGATTTAGCTCAGTGGTTTCGCTGCCTGCTGTGCAAGCGCAAGGACCCGAGTTCAATCCCTGGTACAAAAAAAAAAAAAAATACATTTTGTTCTGTTTTTACTGAATCAGACAAGGCATGGTTTATTTCTTCATAACTGAAAAAAATTAATAGAAGGCTTGTTTCCATACTGCCTTGTAGTTCATAGGCTATGTGGTTGTGCAGAGCTATCTGCCCTGTATCTGTTGCCTACCCCCACTCTTTAAATAGTTTTTATCTTAATCATTCTACCTGCTGTCTTTTTTTTTTTTTTTTTCTGCTATCTGTGTCCTTGCTTCTATCAAACATCACTCTGCATTTATTAATTTGTGGCCTGCATGGGCATCTTAGTGCTACATGTAAAGAGGTGGAATTGAATGGAGGCATTGAGTGAATCTCCTAAGTCCAACGCAGTTTACTTAAGACTGTGAGGCTTCTGGGTAGATTTCTTAGAGACTGTTTTTGGCTTGCTTCCTGGTCCTTGGCTGTGTTTCATTCCCCATCACTGAGGTGTTATTTTGGGTTCATGATGAGATAACTTGGGTGTGGTCCCCATACTTCATTCGATCCCGCAAGACCCAGTCAAAAAGGTAGACAGTTACTGGTGACTTTGACACACAAGGAAGGAACGTCCTGTGCGTCCCTAGCCCTTACAGCAAAGGTAGATCTCAGACCAGTTTAGGTGTGGGCCCCCTGCCCGTTGCCCCCTGCCTGTTACTTGCTGTGTCTTCCCCCTACACATTAATAGGACCAGTTGCTCAGGAGACCTCTGAGCCACTTGGGTTTCTTTTTTTCATTAGTTATAAGAATGCTTTCTGTTTTTGAAGACTGGGGAAAAGTAAGGGGGAGGACATCCTGACTCCCTGTTTACTCCTCTTTTACCCCCCGCCCAGAAGGAAAGTGTTATCAATTTCATTTAAAACTGACTTTAAAGCTCTCACTCCTTCCCCTTTTATCCCTTGGTAGACTTGAAGCGCAGGGAAGCCACTTTCAGGTCTTGGAAAGGTTTGACAGCTACTAGGTAGCAAGGGGCAGTATAAAGATCATTAAAGTCCACTGTAATACAGAGACAGAAGCTGGGCCTGGTGGTGCGCACCTACAATCCCAACACTGAGAGGCTGAGGCAGGAGGATCACAAGTTCAAGGCCGGCCTTAGCAACTTAGCAGGGACGTTAGCAACTTAGTGAAAGCCTGTCTCAAAGAGAAGGGCAGGGGGCGTAGCTCAGTGGAAAGACCCTGGGTTCAATCCCGAGTACCAACCAAGACCAAAACTGACCCCCTTTCCCCCAAAAGAACCACGATAGGAAAGGGCAGATACCTCGTTTAGTACCTTTCTCTGGGGCACGGCAGATACCTCGGGCTCCTGCTGGCAGAACCCCCAGGTGGTAGAGCTGCCTCAGATTGGCAGTGAGTAAACCAGGGAGCCAGGAGAAAGCTGGTAGTGTTGGCTGTGATTTTCCTGGCAGTGCTGTGCGGCTTGGAGCCCGAGGCAGTCAGGTGGGCAGGCTGGCAGGGTCAGTGTCACCGTCGCACCCACCTGGGCGTGTTTACAGCGGCTGGGAGTGCAGTTGGCATCAGCGAGAGGGATCACCCATTTGTGGGGGTCGTGCCTCATGCTACCTGTGGTGTGGACGAAAGCGTCTCCAAAACCTGGAGCCCACGAGGTGGGGGCTTGCTGACACAGGCTCCCGTGGGGCTCAGACTGCCATCAGCTGCCAGGCACAGGGTCCCTGTGGCCTCTCCACTTTCTTGCCAAGCAGACTTGGCAGCTTGGGGTGATGCTAGGCGCTTTCTGGCCCGTTGGCCCTGGGTGTGTGTGATCTGCCCTGTATTGACGGTCACCCGGGATTCCCAGGGCTGGGATTAGACCCCTCTTCAGAGCTCTGCCAATTGTGGGCCTCGTGCAGATGAGAGCGCCAAGAGAGAAATAAAGTGTGCAGGGGATGAAAAGCTGAGCTGAATCGCTTTCAGCCCATTGTTCATCCGGGGAAGCTTAGAGGGGATAAGAGGGTAGCAGGCCCCTTTGAAATTTCCTTGAACAAGTGAATAGGAGCGCCCCATAAAGCATGAAAAGAGCCCTGGCTGTTTCTCCTCATCACAATGGCCAGCGTAGGCTGTGAGGGGCTGGGGAGTGGGGCTGGCCGCCCTGCTGGGAGTTGGGAGGGGACAGGGCTGGGGAAGGGGGAGAGGGGGTCACAGGCAGCCTTCAATAGACTCCAGAAGGTTGGAGTTCATTAGACACAAGCCTAGGGAAGCAATCGTCTCATTTGCGACAGAACCAATTAAGTCCCGGGGCCCTTGCAAGAGGCCTGGGTAGGTGGGGCAGGGCTGGCCTGTACTTGGTTATTCCAAGGAGCCGCACGCCAGGGCCTGGATGTGCAGAGCAGGCAGGGGCTTTAAAGAAATCCTTGCTGTCTCCCATAGCCCGCTGCTGACTTCTGTTTCCCTGCTAAGTAAAAAGCCCTGTTGAAGATGGCTGGGGATTTGAATCTCCATTACGAGCCTCTGAGAAGGCTGCTTTATGACCCTGTTACTCTCAAACGTGCATTTTCAGAAGGAATGGCGTTTTAATCTTTTTTTTTTTTTCTGAAAGTTAACTGCCAGACTTCCGGCAAAATCCAAAACCAATCCTTAAGCATGGTGGAGGCAGAAGCAGGAGTATGGGGCCATTCCAGGCTATCAGGCTCAGGAGGATGGGGCCCAGGGGCCAAGAACATGAGAAGCAGCGGGTGCCTTGCCGCCAAGTGGAAGCCTGGGAGTGAGAAATGGCAGGAACTGGAAAAGCCAAGCTGACGGCACGGGAATTTCTCTGTCTTGTCCTTTTGAACAGAGCTGCAGAGATCCTCCAGTCAGGATCGGCTACCTTTGTAGGTTGCTTCTGCTCTGAGTGTCTCCGCATCTGCAGAAGATTTCTTCCTGTTCCATGCAGGGGGTGGCATGGGTTGTTTTTATTTATTTATTTATTTTTATTTCCTTATATCTTATTTATGGGGCCTTGCTCTGGACGCCGGGGAATACATCTGAGTGAACTTCAAATATTACCTTATCTTACAAACCAGGCTTTTGATGTTGGCTTGTGATCAGAGGCTGCCTCAGAGTGACTGTCAAATGCAGATGTGTGTGGCTGCACATGCGCAGGACCCTACTATTTCAAAACCTCCGGAAAAATGACATTCAGGTTAGGTCAGGCCTGGCGGAGTCAAAAGGCTAACCTAATTGGCTTGGCTTAAATGGCATCTAAGTGGAGTCCACACTTCAAAATCAGTGCTCCCCAGAAACAGCTGGCCCTGGCAGTGGGCTCGTTAGCTAAAATGTTTATAATTAAAGGAGACTATAGAGGGACCAAAACTCTGGCGCTCTTCAGCTCACAGTTTTGAGCAGCCAGGAAACTGATCATAGACTTCTAGAGCCTGAATAAAAGAAAGAAGAGAGGCCTCCTTTTGGCATGAGGGGCTGTTTTGGAAGAAGATTCTTGGCAGGGGGGAATTAAAGCCACATTTCCTTAAAGGCGCCTATAAACCTCTTTGATCCTCTCCAGGCTGAATTCTCCCCTTGCTGCTCTGGCCACAAGTTGCCTTTCCTCAGTTGGATCCTTTACCTTCCCTGTGTGCCACGGGGCGGTGGCGGGGGGGCGGGGTGCTTATGAAGCCATTTTTTCATCTGGCCCTCACTCTGGCTGTCACTGCTCCTTATACTGTACCTCTGTTCTTTATTTTCTTTTTTCTACCTTGTATAAAGAAAGCAGGAAAGGTATAAACTCCTTACCACTGATTTCTGAGGAGAAAGGAAGGAGAAAAGAATGAAGCCTACTGGTGGAAACTTCAGGGTAGTCTTGGAGGAGTCAGATGGGGGATTCTCCTAGACCTCTTGAACCTATGTGACTTGTGCCATGGTAGGGTCCGTGAGGTGTTTGACTCTTGCCTCCCCACAGTTGTCAAGGAGACAAGAAAAGCAGAGCTCTCTGGAGTGTCTGCAAGGGACCCAGTCAGGAGAGTATTGTGGTCATTGTCTTGCATCCTTGGGGCAGCAGAGACAGATCAGCGGGAGACCCAGTCTGTGGGATCCCTACGGCTTGGCACTCCCAGCCAGCATGTACTGAGCGATGGGGGAGGACTTCCCCACATTTCTGGTTTGTCCTTTTAGAATGTCAGGTGGAGCTTGGGAAATGGCACCTCTCTCTTCAGACCAGCAGGAAGCCTGGCTCCTCTGGTTAGGGCTGGGGATGACATCTGAAAATGGGGACTTTGAGGGTAGGGTGCTGAGTCAGGACACCTCTTCTGAAGACCGGAAGTGGCTTAGACTTGGATCTTGGACTGGAATCCTGGATTTCACTGTGACTGACTATTATTGAGTGTTCCTGGTCATTAAATAATGTGGTTCACGAAGGCTCTTGTGAGAATGAAGCCTGATGTCATATCAGATGTCTAAGCCAGCATCCCGCCCACAGTGGGTACTTGGGTGGTGGGCGCTGGTGGCTTCGGGTTGGAATCCCTTGCCTTAGGTGGGATTTCGTTGCTGCACAGGCCAGGTGTGCTCAGGAGAGAGAATCCAGTTTTCTCCTGTGTCCAGTCAGCTATCCCAAGGTGAGAACACTGAGTTTTGATAAGTCACCTTTAGGCAGTGGTGTAAATTGCTAGACTTGGAACCTCATATCCTTCTTGTTCCGCCTTTAAGAGCCTGGTTAGCTGCCAGGTCCCACTGAACGGGAGGCTGGCTGCCCAGGAGACCTGTTTCACATGGGCACTGGTCAGATGGCCGGCCCCTTTCCACGTGCTCGCTCTCTCTGCTCCCATCTCTGCTTTCTCCGGGGCAGGACACTCTCTCTTCTCCCCACTCCCTGAACCTCTCAGTGTGATTGTCTTTCACGCAGTCTTCAGCCAAGGTTTGGCTCACATAGATTGGTTTGTTGCTCCACTGGAGTCTTTGTTGTCTCCTTGGTGGCTCTTTTGTTCTAGGTCATCAGACTCCCGGAAAATGCAGCCACTTAGGACTCTAGGCCATCACCAGTAAGGACCTACGGGTCAACCAGCTACTCCTGGCTGCTCCCTTGATATCTTTAGGCACTGTTGACTGTCACTGCTGATGAGCCAGAGGTGCTTTTCTCCCTTTCACCCTGTGCTGAACACAACACCAGGAACTCGAGACATCCAAACACCTAATTTCAATATTTACAGCCTCAGAGTGGGGTCCACTGTGGGAATGTTTGAATGTTGGGGCTTTGTAAATCGTATCAGTGGGAAAGAGTCACACTTTGACCATTCTGCTGCTTTCAAGAAAGAAATTATTTTTTAAAGATTATACCAATTCCAGGTCACTTTACAGTGAATGGTAGCTGAAATGTAGGCTTTCTTTAAAAAAAAAAAAAATCTTGCTAATTTTTTTTGCCTGTGGTCTCCTCTGTGTAATCCAGGCTGGCTTTGAACTTGTTACGTGACCAAGACTGGTCTTGAACCCATGGCCACCTGCCTCGCCCTCCCGAGTACTGGGACTGCAGGCCTCAACCCCATGCCCAGCTTTTGCTAATGTTGTTGTTTGTCTTTTTTAAAAAATAGAATGATGGACATAGGGGCCCGTTAAGCTGCAGGTCTTTGTCCAAGCCCCACTTCGGAAGGATTTCATTGAACCCCCTCCCCGTCTGATTTACTTTGCAGTGATGGGGATTGAATTACAAAGCACTGAGCTACACCCCTACCCTTTTCTATTTTTTTGACACAGGGTCTTGCTAAGTTGCCTAGGCTGGGCTTGAGCTTTAGATCTTCTTGCATCAGCCTCCCAGAATGTTGGGATTGTAGGCATATATAACCACTCTTACCCCACACGCTCATCCGCTCCACACACTAACATTAGAACTCCCCCATTCCTAGTGACTCCCTCCTGCTTCCCTGCTTTTTTTTTTTTAATCATAGTACTTACCACCTTCTAAATATCTTTTGCTCGTTGCCTGTGCCACCCCTTTAAATTAACTTCCTAAAAACGATGGAATTTTTAACTCCTTTATCCACTGCCCTTTTACCTAGTGCCTAGAATAAGCCTGGCACATAGTAGGTACTTGTATATTTTAAGGACTTGTGCAGAGTACTGCATAGGAGCGGCTTTCTCTTTATGCCCACATTGGTCCTGTCTTTGCTAATTCATTGATTGAGGGTGGTAATATTTGGAGCCAAATGAAACCTCCATAGCATGATTTTATAAAAAGAAATTTGGAAAGGGTCAAGAGGTTGGCTATTGGAAAGAATGCATACCTTCACTTATGCCTGGTCAGACCCCTGTGGGTTTGGTTCCCACCCCTACAACCTTTTGCCATGGTGTGCTCTGAGGCACTGTTTTCCTAGTGGCACTTGGCAGTGATAACAGACTACAAAAATACAGGCATCTTCACCCTGTATTTGGCTGGTTGGAGTGCAACCATTTTAGGACAATAGCCAGAGAGATAGTTCCAGCCTCTTTCCAAGTGGCTTCTGCATCTGAGAGGGAGGGGAGCCAGGTCTTCAGAGATGGTTGATGGGCAGAATTGGAGGTTGCTTTGGCAGTGGCATCTTGGATGGGTCCATCTTTGTGAGGACTGTGGTTGCATCTGGAGATGTGTGGCTCACTAACGCGGAAACATGTGGCTGCCCTACCAGTAGTAGGGTCTTGGGGTGGCCGATGTGAGTTAGCCCATGTGCTGAAAGCATCCTTGAGGCCTGTGGATATCAGTATTTTTTTTTCTTTTAGAGATGGAATCCCTCCTTATCGTGTGGGGAGTAAGAAACAGCTCCAGAGAGAAATGCATCGCAGTGTGAAGGCCAATGGCCAAGTGTCTCTACCTCATTTCCCGGTGAGTATAGTGGGGAGGCAGCTATTTCCTGCCGTGTTGAGTCCTGAAGAAGAGGGATGGGAGGTGGAGTCGGGAGGTATGGACAGGGTAGGAGGAGCGGTGCCCAGGGGCTCCTATGGGAAGAGGGGAGGCAAGGAAGAGTTGGACCAGAGGCATCACACATAGTCACGAGGTTCAAGACAGACCTGTTTTTTGAATCTTTACATTATGTGACTTGAAAAAGAGAAATTTCCTTCTGAAAAAGACTTTGAAAGAGCTCCTTCCTAGAAACCAAGTAGTGCCAGGGGATGACCATAGGATGGACCAACTGCATTCCCACTAGAATGGAAGTCCCCTGAGGGCACAGTTTTGTCCTGTCAGCCTCTGAATCCGGACTAAGAATAGTTCCTGACATAATTAGGTACTCAGTAAACACTTGGTTGAGTAAGTGCATGGGGTTAGAAGAATCTGCTGCCTTTGGAGGAGAGTCACATCCCTGGGCCTGTCTGCTGCTTGTACTGAGCGGCCATAGCTCTGTCACTTGAGCCATCCATTTGTCCGTGTAGCTGGCTACTTCTCCTACTGATGTGTCTGAAGGAGGGCAGCCGTTGCGCCTTGTCTGTTTCTTGGCTTACACTGGCTGGTGAGCCTATGCCTAACAAAGACTGAATGGTTTGGAAGAATGGATCTCCCGAGAAGATTCTTCCCGTGTGGATAATAAAGGTCTTCTGGAACCTTTCCCTTTTAATTGCATGTCCCTGCAAGCAGTCAGCACATGACACCTTTTACTCAAGATCCACCCTGTTAAATTTTCCATGTCAGGGCTGTACTTCTTAAAATAAGCTTGAGGTCTAGGTTGTAAGAACATTCTTCCTTAGGGAAGAGAAGAGAGGACTGGCTGAACAGCAGGTATCTGTTTATGAATCTTTCCTGCTAGCTTCAGAGAGACTCCAATTGGTCTGTCTGCTTAGGCTGGGTTCAGAAAATTAAAACATCACATTGCTAATCCCATGTTGCATTAGTACACAGATTGTATCTCTTAGGTGAAAGCTCATCACACAGACAAGGGCAGACTTCCCTTGCCCTAAAATCAGCATATCCAAACCCCTGTCCCCCAATAATACAAATGACCAAAATTGTTGACCCTGGGGTGCAGTGGGTATGTGTGTTAACAAAGAAAAATCCTGTGGCCCAGGCTCGTCCATTAGATGATTTTGTCCTGGGGTGTGCAAAATCGACCATCTCCACCAGGCAGGGCTTTGGTGGGAGGGAGGGTGGGGGTGACAGGGAGCCAGCCTGTGTGACAGTGGCAGGGGCCTTCGCAGGGGCCTCTCCCGTGTCTGTGGCTAGGTGGTTGCTGTGGCAAAGCCCATTTCTTTGACTGGGGAAGATATTAGCCTTTGAAAGTTGGCTTTCTGCTCCCCACACCCCCAAGCAAAGGGCAAAGCAAGGGGGAGATAAGGAGGCAAAGCAGTAGAGGGGGGTGGCAGGGGAAGTGAGATGACAGAAAAAGGACAGAAAGTTGGGCGGCAGGGGTCCTCTCTGTTTGCTGCTTTTGGCAGTGTTCTCGGTGCCTTTTTATATTCTGCACTTGATTTGGAGATGTTCCCTTCTCCCTTGATAGATCAGCTTCGGGCAGCCAAGCTCAGCAGTGTTCTGCTACTAGCCTGCAGCAGCTTTCTTCATTTTCTGTACAAAGAGATAGGGAGGAGGGGAGGAGAAAAACGAGGGAGATCGAGGACAGTGTTGAGACAACACCACCTCAAAGGTGCGCAGTGTGTGGCCAGGAAATAAATTACCGCTTCTTCTCTGATCTGGGGCCGTGTGACTCCTTCCCCCACCCCTTTTCCCTCCCCCACCTCCTTTCCAATCTTATTTTTTTAAATTTCCACCTCCCTTTCTGTTTAGACCACTTTCTCTTCCTTGACTTGATTTCGCTCCCCTCCCCACCTCAGAGGGCTGCTTTTTTTTTTTGATGTTTGACAACAGTCTTTGAAGATTTTCTACTTCAGAGTAGCTACTGATGGGCTGGTTGTACTACAGAGAGAACAAGCAGGGCCTCTCGGAGTGCGACCAACTGCTCCTGCCCAAGGCAAATGCTGGTGGGGACCATGGCTCTCCATGAGGCCGTGGAGGCAGCACATAAAATCCGGAGCAGCACCGGCCGCCTCGCTGTTAGCTCTCCACCCAAACATGGGGACGCTGCACGTGTTGCTGGGCCTTCGGAGCTCCAGAGCCAGCCCAGCCTGCTAACCGTGCCTGCTCCCTGTCCTCCTGCAACCTTAGAGAACCCACCGCCTACCGAAGGAGATGGCGCCGGTGGACCCCGCTGCCTTCGCGGCTGAGCTCATCTCCAGGCTGGAGAAGCTGAAGCTGGAGATGGAGAGCCGCCACAGCTTGGAGGAGCGCCTGCAGCAAATCCAAGAGGTATGCCAGCTGCAGGCCCCATCCAGCTGTGTGCCTGCGCACACGCGTGCATATGTGTGTGTGCACCTGTGTGCGTGTGTGTATGTGCATTGGCTGTGCATATGCATTCGAATGTGTACGCACTTCCCCGTGTGCACAAACCCAGGGCCTCTGCTGCTTCCTGGATCACTTCACCTTTTCCTCCTACCATTCCAGGATGAAGAGAAGGAAGGGTCAGAGCAGGTGCTGACCTCGAGGGGTGGGGCACCTGCCCAACCCCCTCTGTCACTCCTGCCCTCCAGCAGCTATGAGGAGGACCCACAGACAATTCTGGACGACCACCTGTCCAGGGTTCTTAAGACTCCTGGCTGCCAGTCGCCCGGTGTGGGCTGCTACAGCCCGCGCTCCCGCTCCCCTGACCACTGCCACCAGCAGTACCACTCCCTTCCACCTGGGGGCAAGCTGCCCCCCACGGCCACCTGCCCGCTTCTTCGGGTCAAGGGCTTCCTGACCAAGCAGACAACAAAGCATGTCCACCACCACTATATCCACCACCATGCTGTCCCCAAGACCAAGGAGGAGATAGAGGCGGAAGCCACACATCGGGTGCGCTGCTTCTGCCCCGGGAGCACTGAGTATTACTGCTATTCAAAATGCAAGAGCCACCCCAAATCTCCAGAGCCTATGCAAGGGGAGACGTTTGGGTGAGTGTCCAGTGGGCCATCTTGTCTTAGGTGGGACTTTTTTTCTAGCCTGAGCCCTGGCCAGTTCCAGGGTGGGGTCCACAGCCATGGGCATTTAGCCTCTAGGAGGGGGGCAGGGGCTACTGTAGGGTGGAGGGTGGCAGGTGCGTGGATCTTTCCTATCACTGCCCCCTCGCCAGACTGTCCAGCTCAAGAAGTCCTAGAGATTTAATGGGATGTCTGAGTTGGGTGTGGCTCTTGGTTCCCCACAGTGGCAGCAGAGGCAGTGCCCTGCCCAAACGAAACGGGAAAGGCACGGATCCCAGCCTGGCCCTGCCTACCAGGGAAGGAGGGCCCCCCAGCGGAGCTGGGGCCCTGCAGCTTCCTGGGGAGGAAGGAGACAGGTCACAGGATGTCTGGCAGTGGATGCTGGAGAGTGAGCGGCAGAGCAAGCCCAAGCCCCATAGGTAAACACTGCCCGCTGGGGTACCCACTAGGGAGGTATTTCGGGGTGGCTATTTCTGCAGTTGGCTGAAAACAAATGGGACTGTTTGCTCCTGCCATCTTAATATTAGACGTTGGACTGAGCAGACCACAAAAATGTCATGTTTTGGCAATGACCCGTAGTCGTGTTATGGTAGTTATTTTCTTCTCTCTCTTCCTCTGAAAGCAGAAGAGACGAGTTTCTATTGAAGTCACATTTTCCAGTTTTTCTTACCCAATTTCTTTCCTTCTGCTTTTTCTCCTCATTCTCATTCCTTGTTTAGTGCCCAAAGCACAAAAAAGGTCTACCCCTTGGAGTCTGCCCGTGCATCCCCAGGCGAACAAGTCAGCCGGCATCACCTGTGGGGGGGCAGCGGGCACTCCCGCATGGCCCCCCGCACGCACCCCTTTGCCCAGGATCCTGCGATGCCTCCCCTGACCCCACCCAACACTCTGGCGCAGCTGGAGGAGGCCTGCCGCAGGCTAGCCGAGGTGTCAAAGCCCTCAAAGCAGAGGTAGGTAGAGGGGGCGTCAGAGGCTGAGGCCGGGAGGGGTTAGGTTTGGAAGTGGCGTCCTGGCCTGTTGCCTATGGGGAGGGCCCTTGTCTTGCCTGGGTCCCAGACCCTCCGCCCGTAGGAGGCGCTGCTCTGGTTGAGAGTCTCCTTTCTGGCCTCTAGAAATTGTTCCTTTTAGTTGTATTTGTTCTGCCAGAGTTAAACTAGGATCTGTTTGCTAGGCAAGTCATGCCTAGAAATAGAAGCAGTTTCCTCACAAATCCCATTCCTCCCAAAGGTCTTCGTCATTTAAGGCTGGTTAGGTGAGCAGATCAGTGGCCGTGGCTGGTGGAGAATCAAGTCTTCAGCCATTTTCTGGGGCTGAGAGTATCCCATTCTAGCTCGTGGCCAGTGTAATGGCTGCACCGAGATGCCTTCTAGGCCTCCTCCAGCCACCGCTAACACGGAGCCTCGGTTGGCTGAAGAGAGGGATGAAAGTTGGGTCTGCATTTCTTCAGGAGGCCGAAGAGAGTAGTTCTCTGTCTGCTCCCAGTTGCCGTGGGGACAGTAGTGCTCCTCTGAATCCCTCGCCCTGCCCTGGCTGTGTCCTCAGGTGCTGTGTGACCAGTCAGCAGAGGGACAGGAACCACACTGCCACTGGTCAGGCGGGAGCCACAGTCTTCTCCACCCCAGGCCTGGCTCCAGAAGAGTGAGTGTCTTTACCTGGCATTACTGAGACTTGGCAAGTAGTGGCTGACGTGTCGGGGTTTCCATCACAGGGAGTCATGTTTTTGTGAAACTTTTTTTTTTTTTTAAATGGTGCTGGGGATTCAACTTGGTCTTGCCACTGAGGTACACTTCCCAGCCCTGAGTCGCTAAGTTGCCCAAGCTGAGCTCAGTCCTCCTGCATCAGCCTCCAGAGTGCTGAGATTACAGGGGGTGCCACCACACCCAGCCTTGGAACTCTTTCTTTGTATATAAAGTCACCTTGGTATTAACACTAGTGATGAGCAGCAATAAACACAGATGTGCCTGCCACCCATGAAGATTATGGAAAACTCATCTATACTGAAAATGCACCCCAGGTTCTCTGGGGCTCATGGGAACCCGTTGGTGGATAGGTAAAGGGGACCCTGAGTCCATATGCAAAAGTCGTCTTTCGTTCAAGTTGGTGGTACTGGAAGCATCTCTGTATTGCCCTGGAGTAGGAAGGTGATTCTCCACCTGGGGTAGATGCTTCGAAGACCATCTTGTGTTTTTCTTAGGGAAAACAGTAGATCCTCCAAAATTAGGACACAATTCTTCTTACAGTTTCACTTGCAGAGTAAACTCAGAAGCCTGGCTCAGTTTAATTACAGGATGGTGCATTTGAAAAGAAAACTGCTACAGAGCTCTAAATGATCTAAGTGTTCTTTTTAGCCTCTTCATCCTGATCAGTGAGTAGAGTTTGAAATCTGGGTATGGTGGCTCATGCCTGTGATCCCAGCATTGGGGAGACTGAGGCAGGAGGTTTGCTTCGAGTTCGAGGCCAGCCTGGGGTACTCAGTGAAACCTAGTTTAAAAAAACAAAACAAAGAAAGAACTGTTGAGTAAACTGCCTTCTAAGTCTATCAGCTGTCTGGGCCAACAGCTTATATTTTGAAAGTCGCTCTTCACAAACTCAGAATAAATGACTGTGGCCTGACTCCCTCTAGTTGTGTTTGTTCTGCTGGAACAAGGTGGGCTTCAGGGATTTTGAGTTCATGCATCCCCGGAGGTGCCCCGCTCAGGCCTTCCCTCTACAGCACCCCCTGATGGGGGAGAGCCCTGTGGCTCCCCGATACTTTGTGGTCTTTCTTCCTCACTGCTGAGCACCTCAAGTGCTACCTGGGGTTTTGTTCCTTGCAGTGCTGGAGATCAAGGCCAGGGCCTCAAGGCCAGTGCTCTGCTGCTGATACAACTCCAGTCCTGAGTACCGAATTTGTGCTAACCGGAAGGAGACTGCTATAAGCTCCCATTTCATGGCAACAAGGGAAATGATACAAGTTGGCACAACCAAAGGGAAATCATCCCTTCATGCATACTCTACAGACTGTGGGATTGGATTATGTATCTACCAGTCAGTGCTATGAGGCCTGCCCCAAGCTTCCTTTGCTGTCACACCTGTAACCTTAGTGCTAGGAGACGTGTGCCTGTGCACGTGCACGCAAGCGCATGTGTGTATTGTATTGTGTGTCTGCTTTAAGATGCTAAACGTGTTGCATTCCATCTTATTTTCAGTCACAAAGAGCCGAAGAAACTGGCAGGTGTCCATGCACTTCAGGCCAGTGAGTTGGTTGTCACTTACTTTTTCTGTGGAGAAGAAATTCCGTACAGGAGGATGCTGAAGGCTCAGAGCTTGACCTTGGGCCACTTTAAAGAGCAGCTCAGCAAAAAGGGAAATTATAGGTAAGAGTCCTGTGGCTTTTTTCTGCTCCAGAGTTCATTCACAACCCAGGGCTTGAGCCTGGAGCAGCTCAGGGAGGGCCAGCGGAGGGGCTTAAGATGTTCTTGGGGAGGGCGTTCAAGAGGGCCACCACCGGGCTCCTTCTTTCCTCTCCCCTCATCTCTAGCAGCAGTTGTGCCGCAGCAGCCACAAGAGGAAGGCTGCTGGGCTGCCCAGGCTTTTCCCTCCAGGTGAACAACATTGAGGGGAAAAGGAGCAGCAGTTTGCTTTACCAGGAGAGCTAGAGTGGCTGTGTAGCCAAGGCACTGCCTGATGTTGAAGGCCTTGGGCTGGGGGTGTGGAGCAAATTGATGGTGGGGGCTTGGAAAGAACCCCAACACATCTCCCCTCTGGGTTTGGGACAAGGAGAGGCCTCTGTACTGGAGCCTCAGAGAAGGGCAGACACTTTGACTGAGAAAAGACAGTTTTTCTTACTCAGCCTGTCTGCCTGAAGAACTTCCTCCCCAGGCTGGACAGGTCCTGTGCTCTTTGGTCCATAACAAATAAGGCGGCGGAACCTGTGAATGGGCCCGGCCACTCCTTCGGCCTGGGCCTGGGCCTGGCACTGCTGTGTTCTCCCTGGGGCCTTGGGAAGGGAACTTGACCTGCAGCCTCCCTTCCTCCTCCGAATAGCAGAGGTTCCCTGACCTTGCTGGGCCCTTGGCAGACTTCGGGAGCAGAGGAGGAAGAGGGCCGGCCCTGGCCCATTTCTCAGTCACCTTCCTCTTAATGAGGGGCAGCTGGTGACTGGGCCTCAGTTCACCCAGAGTGCTGCCTGCCCTTTCTCCACGGCCTTCATCCTGTTCACGTGGGCTCTGCTGGGGCCAGGGCACTAGGTCAGGGCACCCTGAGGGGCTGCTCATCTTGGGATCTGCCCCTGTAAGGAGTGCCGCCCTCTCAGATGTGTGCCCTGGGCCCTGGGCAGGGTCACAGCCCATCCCCAGCAGGTGTTGATCCACTCTTGCCCTCCAGATCCAGAGGGTGAGTGGAAAACCTTTGTGGTAGCAGCCTGCCAGTGGGCACTGGCTCCTGGCCACAGCTGCGCCTCTGTGGGGCTTAGACCCCTTCCTTCCCTCCAGGGGCTGAGACCCCTGTCCTGTGTAGCTTTCCCAGCCGCCTGCTCTGTCACTTGGGACAGGGCCAGCAGTGGTACCTTTCGCAGGGGGAAGAGCTGGAGGATGGGCAGGGCCCTGCAGGTGACTGACCAGCAGGGCGTGTGGCTGGGCCCAGATCATTCCCTTTTATACCTGGGAAGAGACGATTCTGTAAAGTTATCAAAGGGACTGGGGAGCGGGCCTGGCTGCTGCTTCTTTTAATCTTGAAAAGACACAGGTGAAACTAATTACACAAGTGCGCCCCTCCAGGGATTCATTCTGATCTTGGCTTTGACTCGGCTGGACTTTGAGGGGAACTGCAGGTGACCTTCATGGGAGGAGAGCCATGGAGCGCCGAGCAGAGGCCTTGCCGGGAAGGTGCCTCGCTCAGCCGCTCCGGCCACATCTGGCTCTGATTTTTTTCCTAAGGCACATTTAATAAGCCTGGCTTTGAAGCCCTGGCCTCCCTTTAATGCACAAAGACTTGTACAAATGGTCGACTCTCAAATTCCTTCCTGATTGGATCAGGCTGTGGGAAGCTCCTCCCAGCTGCCTTATCTCTGCCAGGCCTCAGCTGGACTCAGTGCCCTCCTAGGAGGGGGGCGGCACAGGGTGCTATGCCTGCACCCCCCAAGCAGGGCTTGGGCCCCAACATCTCAAATTGGTGCCCCCCCTCCCCCACAACCCCAGTAAAGGAGCCCAGTAAAGTGGGGTTGGGGCTGTGGAGCAGGGACCTGGGCTATGTTGAGTAATCTCAACATGGCAGGGGTTCAAAAAGCAAACAGTCCCTCCAGACGTGCCAGACGCTATTGGTGCCAGATGTCAGAAGAAAGCAGCATTTGCCACATAAAGCATGTTGCAGTGGAAAAGCCCGTTTCTTAAGAGAAAACGAGGGCAGTGCAGCATGTTTGAAGTCCTGGGGGCGGGGCCCAGGGAACGTTGCCCTCTCCTTGCTGGAAGGGGGTACAGTTATGTAAAAGGCCGTTGCATGTTTGTTCGGGGTGCCGTGAAAGCCTGTCTTGGTAAACCCCAGAAGAGTAGGAGCTGGGAGCTGAGAATGGCATTGGGATTGGAGCCTCTCCTTTGCAAAATGACTTTCCCAGCGTCCCAGCATCCCAGGCCCCAGGGCACAGCCCTCCCTGTACTCTTGCCGTCTGTCCTCACAGGCTCTCCAAAGAATATTGACCCCCTGAATGGTGAAGTGTTCCCCCACCGGCCAGCTCCGCTGGCCAGGACACTGAAAACAAAGGCCCTGAGCAGAGCCAGCTGTTTCCTTGTACTTAGCCTTATCTTCTAAGCAAGCTTTTGGCTTACCTTCATTAAAGTGGAAAAAATTTAGAGAAGTTAATTTCTTTTTTTTTTTTAAAGAGAAGACAAAAACCAGCTCTAACTCTGAGACTCATTAAAAGTTTTAGAGGCTCCCCCTGCTCCCAGGGGACTGTGACCTTGCCTCTGCAAGTGGCCTTTATGGGGCTGAAAGTAACAGCTTGCAGGGGTGAGTTGGATCTGTGTGAGGGGTCTCTGTTGGGGATGCAGTGGGAGAGGCCTTGCTTGGTTTCTTCCAGGGGCCCGGGTTGGGCCTGGCTGAGATGGCAGTTGCTTAAAGTGTGACTCCTGAGAGGCTGTCATTTCCGCCGTGCAGTTAAAAACAGCTTTAGAAGCAGGAGTGCTGGGCAGGGGGCAGAGGAATCTTTAACCAGGGGCATAAGAGGGAGCCCTTAATGTTTGACCCTGCAGGGGTGGGAGCAGAGCGGAGGCAGGGACGTGGGGACAAACAGGAGGCTGGGGTGGAGGGGTGGGGAGGATGCCAGTCTGTGACTGCCCTGGCCGCCACTGGCTGTGCCAGAGACCGCCATAGTGTTGGTGCTTGGGCCTGGGAGGGTGGGCAGGGCCAGAGGCCCCCAGACTGAGAAGCTACAGGTCTGCTCTCCGAAGGCTCCTGAAGGTGCAGGCTCCACAGGTGAGGCTGGGTGAACTTGGAGCTGGGGCCTGGTCTCTCTGAAGAACCCCACCAGGCATTTGTCCTTCCTGTTCTGCCTCTCATGCTGGGTGTGCATCAGGTAGGGGCACCGGGTGGCTGGTGCAGACTGCACCCAGAGAGTGCTGGCCTTCCTCCCAGTGTGTCCTGTAGGCAGCTCCAGTTGCCCCTCACATCAGGTGTGGCCAGCAGTTTGCAGGTGCCCCTGCTCTTGCAGAGGTACACTTCAGTTCTCCATGCTGGCATGCTTTCTTTAAAACAGCCTAGGACGTAGTTTCAGCAGGCTTTTCTGGTTTTCTTTTTAAGGTATTACTTCAAAAAAGCAAGTGACGAGTTTGCGTGTGGCGCAGTTTTCGAGGAGATCTGGGATGACGACACAGTGCTCCCCATGTACGAGGGCAGGATTCTGGGCAAAGTGGAGAGGATCGACTGAGCCTCGGGCACCTGGCTTTGGCGAGCCGTGGGGGTGACCTGTCTTGGACCGAAGCGGCAGCCACAGCTATTTTGAAGAAATATAAAACCAGTGAAGAAGACAAAGTCTAGGGAAGCATTGGCCACTGGGCCTTCGGAAGGGTGGGGAAGGTTGATCTTCATTTTTCACGAACTGGGTACTGACATAAGAAAATCTGAACTATTTATTAAAAACATGACCACTCTTTGGCTATTGAAGATGCTGACTGGGTTTGAGAGACTGCCATACATAATATATGACTGCCTAGGGATCTGAAATCCATAAACGAAGAGAAACTGTGTATAGCTTAGCTGAACAGGAGTCCTTACTGATATTTATTGAACAATTGATTACCCCCATCCCCAGTTTATGGATATGCTGCTTTAAACACAGAAAGGGGAGAGAGAAAGTTTTAATTCTTCTGTCTGAACTTAGGAGCTGAGCTGGGAGTGCATAAATGATTTCTTCATGCTTTGCACTGCATTTCTCCAAGTGAAGACAGACTTGGAAATGGTGCCCTACCGTTGACCCATGCAGAAATTGGTGCATTTTTTCCCCCTGTGCTGCTCTATTTGTCATAAAGGTCTTGAGGGCTGGCTGTGCTGTGACTTCATCACCATTTTGGGTTTGGCTTGTGGATGGGATGATCCATCATGAAGGAACAGGGAGCCCCATCCCGGGGCCCAAGATTCACCCTGGGACCAAGGTGTCCCACCTTCTAGCCCTCTAGTCCCAGGGCCCAGTGGCTGCTGCCTGCCTCAGCCACTGTCTTGTGGTTCAAACTTGTGCTTTTAGTAAAGTGACAGTTCCTTGTAATTTTTTTTAGTCTTTGGACCACAGCCATTCGCGGAAGTACCCCAGCCCACCCCACAGAGACACGGACAGTTGCAGGGAGGCCTCGCCGCACCTTTGGTCCAGACGCCCTTCCTTTGCTGTTTGGGTGTGCGTGCTAAGTTAGTCTGTGCATTCTGTTCGCCATTGTTACCTGTACCATGCGTCTGTAAATAGTGTACGGCAAAAGAGTAGTAACCCACTATCTCTAGTGCTTGACTTTGAATCAGTACAGTACCTGTACCTGCACGGGGACCTGCTCCGTGTGTCGCCCTATATTGAGGGCTCGAGCTTTCCCTTGTTTTTTGAAAGGGGTTTATGTATAAATATATTTTATGCCTTTTTATTACAAGTCTTGTACTCAGTGACTTTTGTCATGGCATTTTGTTCTACTTATACTGTAAATTATGCATTATAAAGAGTTCATTTAAGGAAAATTACTTGGTACAATAATTATTGTAATTAAAGAGATGTAGCCTTTATTAAAATTTTATATTTTTCAAAACTTTGGCCTTATCTTTGAAACTCGAGGGTGGGAGCAGGACCAGGAGATCCTGCACTTGAGTTCTTCTTACTGGGGCCTCTAACCAGCCCCCTGCCCGTGGGGCCTCCCCGAGGCTTGGTTTTCGTTATGGAGCAGCTGTAGATCCCTGCGTTCAAGCCTCTTCCTGCCAGGTGTATATCTCCAGGCTGGCGAGGTAAGTGTGGGTGATGGAGCTGAATTGAGGTCCTTTCAGGAACACTAGTATTTCATTTGGTGTCTCGGAGGTGAAAAGCCTTTCCGAAAATGGGTCTCTACCCCTGGAATGGCCAGGTGAGGTCAGTGGGCTCTGAGGTCAAGGTCAGCCAGCTGTCTTTCCCATGCTGGGGTTTGATCCCCACACAGCTGCCTACTGGTCTCATCTGATCACTATCTTCTGCCTGCAGTGAGGTTCTGGGCTGGTCCGATGTCAGGAACAAACAAGTGATTGGGGGCAGGGCCAGAGACTCTGCCCCTCAGTGGACAGGTGTGCTCCAGGCAGCTGTGAAGTTGGCCCTCAGCTGTTCACTCAAGCATGCATGCCCTCCCCATGTGCTGAGCTCTCCAAGAGCCACACTGCTTCCAGAGAGAAGTCTACTTAAAGTCCCATGATGAACCGCTCCCCCGCCCCAAAAAAACTAGGTAATTACACTTAGACTTATATGCTGAGTTTTCATGAAGTTGGGCTCTGCTGTGATCTGAGTTGAATTTTTGTCCCTGCTGCCAACTGGATCAGGCTGGCAGGATAGAGTAAGGCTGAGGCGTTGGCCTTGTAGGTGAGGGGTGGTCGTGAACGGTACTCAGCATAGTAGCAGCTTTCTGACTTGGCCAGGGTGTGCGGGGAGCAGTTCTAAGAAATCCTAAAGGATGAATAAACGGAACCTGTTGTGCAAGGTGGGGACACAGGTTTATGAGTGACATTTTCATCTCATCCAGTGAGGAGAATAAAAAGGTAAGGGCTCAGACGAACCTGGGCTCAAATCCCAGCCCACTGCCCTCTTCGTGGCTGTGCACTTAGCATCTTAGCTGCATTTGTGAGAGTCATAGCTAGACTACTGTATTGTTTGTGTTTCTATTTTTCAAAAAAAAAAAAATCAAGATTTTGTACTAAACACAAGATGATATATATCCTCTTAAATTTTTTGTCCGTTAAGTTTATTGGTACATTTTAGGTATAAAATACAGTTACATTCATCATTGGGATCTTGTACCATTACATGAGTATCTTGGTTCTTATTTTTTCCCCTTCCCCTGCCCTCCCTTCGTCCCCTTCACCCCTCCGTATTTGCAAAGACTTTGTTTCCATTTTTTTCCTTTTCTCATACTTTTTCTTTTCCCTTCTTTCCTTTCCCCTACCCCTCCCACTTCCCCTGCTCCTTTAGACCTTCTCTTCCTATTACACAATATCAATTATACATTTTTAAAATTACAATATCAAGATGTAGGAGACATTACCACAGACTTTACAGAATTTGAAAGGATATAGAAAGCCTATTACAAAAACCTTTTTTTTGAAATAAATTTGACAACTTCTAAGAAGTATCTTTCAAGACAAATTAATGGAACTAACTCAGAAGGAAATATAAAATTTGAATAGCACCTATGAAAGAAAGTATATTCCTAGCTTGAAAACCTACCTATATGACAACAACAGGCTCATATATATTTTAACTGATAAATTATATCAAACAAAGCAGAAAAAAGAAAGGACACTTCTCCCCTCATTTTAGGAAATCAACATTGTGCTAATACTAAAACTGAATAAAGATAATAGAAGAAAAAAGTATGAACATAGGTAGAAATTTGTTTAAGAAACAAACTATTAGAAGCCAGATTTGGCAGTATGAAGAAAGTGGTTTTGTTATAGGGATGGCAGTGTTGGTTCAGCATTGGAAGATCCACCCCCAAAAGTCATCATTTTATCACAGGAAAGGAAAAAGCCATATAATCCTGTCGGTAGTTGCAGAAAAAGTATTGGACTAAATTCTATAGCTGTTTATGGTAAAAGCTATCAGGAGCCTAGAAGTAGAACAGAACCTTCTCAGTGGATAAGCCATGTGCTCCATACTTCAGCAAAAACGCCTTATATGAATGGAGAAGATACAATGTTTCTCCCTAAGGTGGGGAACAAGGGCAGATATGCCTACTCTTCATCTGTCCATTAAACTTTGAAACCTAGGCCCAACCCAAATACTCTGGCAATAAAATGACACAATTAGGATAGGATTGGCAAGGGAGAAGCAAAATCTTTATATGTAGATGAAGTGATCATCTACAGAGAAAATACTAAGAAATCTCTAGGAGCCCCTAGAACTTGTATTTGAATTTAGCAGGATTAGAAAACACAAGGTATATATAAAAATTCAGGTCTATGTATAGTTGCTATAAATGAAGAATTGGATATTGAAATTTAAAAGTTATGTACAAGTACAAAGGACCTAGAAAAGTAAAAAGAAAAAGGAAAACAACAGTGTTGGAAGACATTTAACACCTAATTTTAAGACTTCCTCTAAAGCTACTTTAATTAAGGCAGTTTTGGTGTAAGGAAAGACATACAGATCATTGGAATAAAACAGAGAATCTACAAATAGAACCACACATAGGCTTTTAAAACTTTTAACTTCATCTCCCTAATGAGTGTATAATTCAATCTTGTTATTATATTGATTAGTATTTTTCTGATTCTAGAGTTGCACACCATTCCTTGTGCTATACTGGCTATTTATCATCTTCTTGTGTCTACTTTTTAATTGGGTTGTCTATTAATGAGCTCTAAGAATTCTTTATATATTCTGGTCATAGGTTATACGCATTGTGAATATGGTCTGTTTAAGGACTACTTTTCATTTTAACGATGTCATTTAAAGTTCTAAATTTTGATGGAATCTCATTTATCAATTTTTTCCTTTTATACATCATGTTTTTTGTATCCTAGGAAATTCTTGCCTACCCTAAATTCATAAACATTTTCCCTTATAATTTCTTCTTAAAGTTTTATAGTTTTAGTCTTTCATATTTAGGTTCACAGATCCTTTCAAGTTATTTTTATGTATGGAAATAAAGGGTTGAGGTTAATTTTTTATATGTGGATACCAGATGTTCTAGTGCCATTTGCTGAAAACACTACCTTTTCCTCTGCTCTTGAATTGAGTTTATATTCTATAAAATGTTAATGTTAAATAATCTTCCTCTTAAATTTTTAAGTGTACAACAGCACTGTTAATTACGGTGACTGTCTATGGCCATACCACCCTGAAAGCACCTGATTTGTCTTAACTACAGTGACAGAATTGTACAACAGATACCTAAAACGTACTATTTGAAACTTTATGCTGATTGATGGGCAAACCATTACCCTGCCCCCAAGATCCTGACAACAAGCATGGTCCTATGACTTATTTTAGATACCTTATGTAAGTGAAATCACGCAGTATGTATCCTCCTGTGACCTGCTTATTTCACTTAGCATAATGTCCTCAGGGTTTATCCATGTCACTGTTAGGGTGGGAATCCAAAATGTCCCCCAAAAGCCTCATTGTGTTGAAGGCTTGCTTGCTGATAGGCTTTTGTAAAGTAATTGACTCATGAACCTAACTATTAGTGAGGTAATCCACTGATGGGATTATAATTTGATGGTATTATTGAGAGGTGATGGAAACAAGATGAGGAAGGGAATAGAACATAGGGACATGATCTTGGGGACTATACATTGTTCCTGGTTGCTTCCTGTCTTGCTCATTTGCTTCTACTTCCTGGCTGCCTGGTAGGGTGTAGATGGGCATAGGGGCATAACTTTGGGTACATATATGGCCCCTTGTTCTTTAGTGGTGCTACTCCCCTGCTGTACTTTCCAGTTGCCAAAGACACCCTTCTGCTATAATGTTTTTGCCTTGGAGCCAGCCAGCCATGAACTTAATCCCCTGAAACTGTGAGCCAAATTAAACCTCTCCTTTAAGTTGTAGCTGTTGGATACTCTGTTTCAGTGATGAGAAAGCTGATCAATAAAGGGACAAAAAGCTGACTTATGGTCACATTGCAGGATTTTCTTTTTAAAGGCTGAATAGTGATCCATTGAGTGTAATAACACATTTTCTATAGCCAGTCATTCAACAATGAATATTTGATTGTTTCCATATCTTGGCTACTGTGAATCATGTTGAATGAGTATGGAATTGCAGATAATTCTTTGAGATCTTGATTTCATTTCTTTTTGATAAGTACCCAGAAGTGGGATTGCTGGATGATAAAATAGTTCTGTTTTTAATTTTTTGAGGGATTTCCATACTGTTTTCCAAAGCAGTTGTGCCATTTTGCATTTCCAGTAGTATATAAGAGTTGCAGGGCGGTGATGTAGCTCAGTGGCACAATGTCTGCCTGGCAAGCACAAGTCCTTGAGTTCAATTCCCAGTACCAAAAAAATAAAAGAAAAAAAAGAAAAGAAAAAGAAATCCATGCTGGCCAGGCACGGTGGCACATGCCTGTAATCCCAGCGCTTGTGAGGCTGAGGCAGGGGTGTCATTGAGAGTTTGAAGCCAACCTGGGCTATGTAATGAGACCCTGTCTCAAAAAAAGAAAAAAAAAAAAAGAGTTGCAATTTCTCCACATTCTCATGACCACTGTTTTTTTGTTTTTGTTTTTGGTACCAGGGATCAAACTTGGGAACTTGTGCTTGCGAGGCAGGCGCCGGAACCACTGAGCTAAATCCCCAGCCCTGTTATTTTGTTTTTATAACTGCCATCTTAACAGGTATGAGGTGGTATCTCATTACGGTTTTGATTAACAAGCATCTCCATGTGTCTGTTGGTCATTTGTCTTTAGAGAAATGTCTGCTGAAGTCTTTAGCCCAATTTTAAATTGGGTGACTAGATAGTTTGCTATTGAGTTGGAAAAGGTGCTTATATATTTTGGAACTATATACTTTG